AGGGACCCCCCAGGTTCCCACAGGGACCCCCCCAGATCCCTGCAGCAGCAGCAAACCCCCCTCCTACATCCTCATAGACCCCCCTATGTGCCACACTCCCCTCACAGGCCCCCCCTAGACCTCCCTTTTCCCCTTGGTGCCACATCCCCCCATCCCTGCTGCACAGGCAGGATCCAACCCCAGCCCAGCCGGGGCAGGGACCCCACCCGGGGCTGGTGGGGGGAACGGGGGAACCCCCCCCAGGGCTGGGGGGAAGAGCTGGGGACACCCCCAGGGCTGTGTGTCCCCCCCCCCCCAGGACCAGGCACCAGGGGGTTACAGCAAGAACCAGCTTTGGCAGCCAAAATCCCTCTTAAGGCTTTAATCGCATGAGAAAGTGGCCGGGGGGGGGGGGGGGGGGGCAGTGCCACCGTGTGTGCCCCCCCCCCGTGCTGTCCCCAGCCTTGGGGGGGGCCACGGGGACAAGTGCAAATTTAAGCCAAATCCCTAAACCTGGCTTAAAATCCAGTGGGATTTAAGAGGTGGGGGGGAAGATGCAGTGGGGAGAGGGGCTGGAGGGTTTGGGGGGGCCCCCTACCCTCCCCTTTGTGGGGGCCCAGGCGCTGGTGAGGGTGTAAAGGTCGGTGCTGGCGGTGTTTGCACGCGGAAGTGGCACCGTCACCGTCACCGTCCCCGTGTGTGTCCCGTCCCGGCGGGGCCTCCTCCCGGCTGGCACCAGGTAGGGAGGGGCAGGGATCGGGGATGGAGCCCCCCCCCAGCCCGTGGGATGGGCAGGATGGGTGGTGGGGGGTGTCCCCCACTCAGGGTGGGCACTCAGGAGGGTCCCCGGGTGTGTCTGTGAGGGGACACGGCGTCCCCTGGGCCTGGCACAGCCACTGTCCTGCTGTCCGTGGGGACACACAGGCCCTGCTGCTGCAGCCAGGGCCCAGTGGGATTGGGATCAGGGGGTCCCCATAGAGAAGGGGCTCTGGAGGTCCCCATGGCCCCACAGGAATCGGAATAGAGGAGTCTCCTTAGGGACAGGGTGCTGGGGGACCCCATGACCCCATTGGGATCAGGGTGGAGGGGTCTCCTTAGGGACCAGTCCCTGTGGCCCCAGAGGGACAGGACTCTGGGGGTCCCTATGGCCTCATAGGAACAGGTCTCTGGAGGTTCCCATGATCCCATAGGGGTGGGACTCCGGGGGTCCCCATAGGGATCAGCCCCTGGGGTCTCCATGGCCTCATAGGGAGAAGCTCTGGGGGTCTTCATAGGGGTCAGGCTCTGGGGGGTCCCCATTGCCCATAGGGACTGGGCTCTTGGGGTCCCCATGGCCCCAGAGGGGTGGGGCTCCAGGGGGTCCCCATAAGGACACTCTCTGGGGGTCCCCACAGCCCCCCATAGCCCAGGCCTTGCTCTCCTGACCCCAGTCCCTGCCCCGTGTCCCCCTGGCCATGGTGATGGGATGGGGGGGCAGCCCCCCAAGCCCCGTGACCAAATCCTGCTCCACCCCACACCCAGCGTCACCCCAGCCCCCCCAGTGACCCCAGGATCCCTCAGGGGGTGACACCAGGTCCTGACCGGGCATTTTGGGGTGGTGCAGGGAGGGAAAGGAGAACATCCATGGCGTCCCAACCCTCCCTGTCCCCCCCTGTCACCGCAGACCCCGCCGTGCTGGGATGGCCCTGGACGCCTGAGCTCCCCCCGGTCCCTCCCCCCCCCGGCCATGGAGACCGTGGTCATCGTGGCCATCGGGGTGCTGGCCACCATCTTCCTGGCGTCCTTCGTGGCGCTGGTGGTGGTGTGCAGGCAGCGGTACTGCCACCCCAAGGACCTGCGCCACCACTACGACACCAAGTGAGTGACGGCGGCACGGAGGGACCTCGACCCCCACGGGCTGGGGACGGGGCTGGGGGCTGGTCCAGTGTCATCAGGGGGACATTGAAGGGGACACATCCACTGTGACTGTGGGGATGAGGCTGAGGACACATCCAGCGCCGTCAGGGGACAATGAAGGGGACATGTCCCATCAAAAGGATAAAGCTGGGGACGCATCCATAACCATGGGGAGCACAAAGCTGGGGACATGTTCATTACAGGGATGATGATGAGGACAGGTACAGCATCACCAGGGGGACAAAGATGGGGACGTGTTCACCATCATCAGCGGGGCAAAGATGGGGACACGTCCACTGCCATCAGGGGACAGTGCGGGGGACGTGTCCAGCATCATCAGAGGGGAGAAGTTTGGGACTTGTTCACCATTATCAGGGGGATGAAGCTGGGGACGTGTCCAGCATCATCAGGGCCGTGGGGCAGCCCGAGGAGGTGGCCCTGTCCCCAGGGATTGTCCCCCGTGTCCCCAACAGACCCATCGTGGACCTGATGGGGACCTCGGAGACGCCGTCGGAGCCCTCGGAGCTGGAGCTGGACGATGTGGTCATCACCAACCCCCACATCGAGGCCATCCTGGAGAACGAGGACTGGGTGGAGGACGCCTCGTGAGTGTGTGCCCCCCCGTCCCCCCACTGCCAAGGACCCCTGTGCAGTGCCAGCCCCCCATCGTGGGATGCAGGTGGCAGATTTGGGGATCACCAAGGCGTGGGGATGGTCCTCCAGGTGGTCTTGGGGTGGGAATGTCCCCATGGATCTGGGGGACACGGGGTGTGGGACAAGGATGGAGTGTGGGGGGGGACAAACCCCTGATTCACACCCTCCTTCCTCTCCACAGGGGTCTGGTGTCCCACTGCATCGCCATCCTGAAGGTGAGTCGAGGTGGTACTGGTGGCACTGGTGGCACTAAAGGTGATGATGGGTGGCATTGGTGGTACCAGTGACACTCCTGCTGATGGTGGCACCAGTGGCACAGGTGGCAGTGTGGCACTGGGGG